TGTCTACACTGTGGGACTAGTCATGCATGACTCCCATAGCTACAGGGAAAATTATAAGCTCTTGTGTATAAGAGGCCTAATATGGCATCCAGATCAGGAAAAAATCAGGAAATTGTTGAGAGCCTCCTCACCACCTCTAAAGAAACTGCCAGGAGCTTCCCCTAGTGCTGGGGCTAGGGCTCTTCATTAGAAATCCAATTATGCTCCACCAGAATAATTAACCAGATTTCTCAGATCTCAGACTTCAGGAGTTTCATTAAGATTGCCTTTTACTCTTTGGAGGCCAGAAAACATCACAGTCTGAAGAGCAAAAATGAAAATTCCCAGTAGGTGGGTGGTCTACAGTAACCAGTCAGGACCCTGGTTAAGGAAAAGTCACCCAGTGCCTAAGAAAGCACAGGCCTAAGGCCAGGGTCAGTCTCAATCTGCTGGTTAAAGAAGCTGAGAGCTCTCCTGAAATCCTCATGTAGGCTGACCCAGAGCTGGAGTCTCTCAGCTGCCTTAACCATCTCTGGATAGTACATGTAGGAATGTGCGTCTTTACCCATTGTGCCTCCTATAAATAGCAGCAGCATGTATGTTCCCCTCTCAACACCACCAGAAGACAGGGACCAAGTTGCCTGGGCTCCTCTTAGGAATGGCTGTTCCCCCTTGGCTCTAGAGAAAGACACAGGTGTCATTGTGGTCCTGCCACTCAGCTCTGTCCTGTCTGTAAGTTGGACTTTCAGGTCCTCAGTTGTTCTACTTATAAAATAGACTGATAATATAGTCTGATAATAAAACAAGTCTCTGAAGACTTTATTTATAAAGAGAATTAACTGAATCCTTATCATGTGCAAGCACAATGACCTTGATAGCTCTAATGAACTATGCATGAGCAAGTTATGAACTGGTAGCCTGTGTCAGGCAAAGGGGCCTGATCTCGGGAAGGTCCCCTTGATATTCTTATTAAGTTTTCAACACTTTCACGTAGTACTTGGTTCTGGAAACTCTAATCTGGAATCCCCTTTTCTTCCTTTCACACATGAGGAAATTGTGGCTCTCTGGGGTTTATTAAACTCTCTAATATCAACCATCAATAAATGGTACAACTAGAGAGTGAGTAGCTTTCTGGTCCTTGATCTTACCAAGTTCTGGATAGTCCATTCTGTGAAACACCATTTATAAGTGCTCAGCAATCTAAGTAGTGACTGTCCTTCATCATCCTTACTTTCTGTCACCCAGCAGCTGTCCTTCGACCAATAACCTTCATCCCAGCAGCCATTCAGAAATGACCTCTGTATGCTGATTCATGTACATGATGAACACATGACCTTCTTAGACAGCTCTAATAGTCACTGCTCTGTGAATTGGCTAGAGGCAGTGTTTCGTTTGAAGATGACAGGGGTGAGGCAGATACCTGTCATTAGTCACCTGCAAAAGTGGGTGGAGCCTGGGATAATCTCTCATCCTGGAGAACTATTCTCTGCTTTAGGGGGTGGAGATGGACATGAATAAATTGTGAGTCACTTTCCAGGAAATAGCAAGGCTAGGAGGCCAGGACCAGGGAAGCAGGCTGCTGGACATTTGTGGGTTCCTTCACCAGTCATGGTGAAACAGAGGGTCAATGTCCCAAGAGAGAGTTAGGAGTGAAAGTTAGTTTGTGAATCAAGACATCTACAGGGGTGCAGCAAGAGTAGGCTCTGCACCATGTATGTCTTGGGGCTTGCTGTAAATCTTTCTTTACATTCCCATTTTGTTGTTGTAACTTTTTTTTTAACCAGTGCATTGAACTACATGTAAAGGAACCAAAGGAATAGAATTATCACCCTGCATGGGGCAGGTTTTGAAAAGAGCAAGGGCAATATATGTGTGCATTGCAGCATGGGGTAGCTGACTTAGACCTCAGAGAAGCAAAGGAAAATATTAAGAGTAAAGAGAAAGAAACTTATCCTTCAGGTGACACATGTACTCCTGGGCACTGTGTAAGTTTCCACTTTCAGGAACCTTCAGGACAAACCCTCCACCAGGCTCTGCTCAGTAAGTCTGGGCAGCATCTGAGAGTCCACATTGTGGATGATGTGGATACTGCTGGTCTACAGAACCCTCTCACAGCAGCAATAGCTTAGGTGATCAAAAGTCCCCAGTCTTTCGTCAGATACATTATATGGTGGAAATTTGAAGATGAGAAAAAATTTCAAAATCTGCCACTTAAAACAAAGCCTAAAAATTCTTGGACATATCACTGCAGAAAGAATGGCTGAGAAGACAGTGTGTGTGTGTGTGTGTGTGTGTGTGTGTGTGTGTGTGTGTGTGTTCATCAACACCACTCCTTTCTTTACCCCGATGCTTAGTATGAGTTTAAGGATGACTGAAAATCCCAACTATGCCTAGTGTCCCTCCTGGCTAACTAGAGCATCTAAAACTCCAACCATGAGAAATAGCTACATTTTATTTCATCATTTGTCCCATTTTCATGAGAATGCCCCACTCAAAACAGATGCTCTAAGATATCAATTGATTTTAAGGAAGAGAAAATGAGCTCTGTGATCAAACTAATTAAGGACAAAGGAAAATACCAGAGATTGAGGGCATGTACATATTTGTTGACTCTTGAGAAGATAGCAACAGCGGGAGATTCATGAATCACTGAGGGGAACCAGAAGCATCTGCTTCCCATGTTTGATTAAAGCCGCCTTCTTTCCTTGGTTTCTCTCTACCTCCCTTCTTTTCTTTACTCTTGTATTAGCAGTTAAATACAAATTACATCACTAAATACTGGGTGAAGGGAGACTGTTTTGAAGTTGTCAATATAATGGCAGGGCAGGAAAATGAGCATCATATAAAAAGAATGGGATGTTCATCTATGGAGACCATTTTGAAAGTTCTTTAAAGGAGACAAATAAGTCAATAGAATTTTTTTATAAATGTATAAACAAAGAATTAATTTCTATGATCCAATATTAGTATATTTCTAAAAATTATCTCAAGTCTAAAAATCTTTCTCTAGTAAAGCTGTTTGTTCAACTTCAGCAGAATCTAAGTGCCATAAGACAGGGCAATATTTGAAGTTACTTCTGATGGTTGGTTGTATAGTCTGTTTTCTGCTGCAATAACAAACCACCTAGAGATAACTTATAAGGAAAGATGTTTATTTTGACTCTTGGTTCTGGAAGCTGGGAAGTCAAAGAACAAAGCCCCTGGCATCCCATTGACTTTATCTTGTGGTGTGTCATATAAAGACAATCTAGTAAGGATACTAACCTAAGAAAAGCATTTTCACAATCAACCAATGTAGTAAAATGCCAGTTTTTACCTTGATATAAACATGTATATGATATGCTTAATAAATATCATAAGTATATGCCATGCATGTTACACACATTACACACACACACACACACACACACACACACACACACACACACACAGAGTACATAACTGTCAAACATTCTAAGAAGCAGGTCTAAGCCAGAAGTGGTGATGTGTAACTTTGATTCCAGCATCCAGGAGGCTGAGACAGGAGTATTACAAGTTTGAGGCCAGAGGAAGAAGCATTAAAAGGAGAAGATGGGAAGATGGGGACTATTCCCTCTGATCTGATAAAAAGCTAACACCATCAGGAATAAAAAACACTTTCCTCAAATTAAATAATACATCATAGCATTAATCAGCAAGTCCTCCCTGTGTCCTATAGGAATTTCCCACAAGAAAGAGAGCTTCAGCTCAAATGGTAGCTTCAAATTCAGAGCAAACAGGGTGCAATCCTTGAGATGCTTACAGAGGCAGAAATAAGACGAGTACATCCTCCGGGGATGAAAGCTGTTTTATTGTGTATGAAGAAAGACTTTTGAAAGTAGATACAAAACTTGGATGGAGGCTTTGTAGTTCCCCAAAGCTTTCATTGAAGCACCTGCAAAACTTTTATTGACCCATAGCTTTTAATCTGCACAGACTCCCGAGGGTGAATGGCAAGCTTCTCTGTCCCCATTTACCAGCTAGAGGAACTATGTACTGGGTACATTTTTGTTGTTGTTGTTGTTGTTGAGACAAGGTTTCTCTGTATGACAGCCCTAGCTGTCCTGGAACTCACTCTGTAGACTGGGTTGGCCTTGAACTTACAGAGATTCGCCTGCCTCATTTCTTTTGTTTTGAACAACATAAAACAAGTGACAAAACTAATTTTTCTAAGGATAAAAAAATATGATTTTAAGATGAATGAGTATGTGTGTGCATATTTAAACACACACACACACACACACACACACACACACACAAATGTAACTATAAAATAGGGAGGTTGGTATTCTCTCCAAAGGCTCTTGGATGGTTTCTAGAGGAAGTGCTTTCAGCAATTCCCCATCTCTGTATCATTCCACTTATTAAAAAAATATGTGGAGAGAATATCTGGGCACCTCCTTTTGATTCTCACATCAACTTGATGAGTGTTTCATAAGGTGGCTGTGCAGTGACTGCCCACAGGAAATCAGAAACAAGGGAATGGAGGTCATGCTGGTGCAGATGTGAGTGTGCATGGGATGGCCAGTGAGCCCTTTGAGAAAAGTCCTAGTGGCATCCATAGGAGACTCTAGACACCAGACAGGGAGGGAAGGTAATCTTGAACCCAGCAAGTGACTCACTGGTTCCCTTCTGCTCTGCACAACAAATGGAGATATGAGAATTCTCCAGTCTCCAGGATATTCCCCCTGTCTAGGTCCATGCTCAGTAGGCATAAATGATTTCCTGTGCAGCCAGTCCGTCAGTTCCTGGAGTTGCAACCTGATGGAGGAGTTCAGAGGCAGTTCTGATCATGTCCACTCAGAACCAGTTATTCCTTCAAACCAGAGGACACTTCTGCCTCAATGTTTTTACCTGCTCAGAAGAAAAAAAGGTCATAGTAGCTACTTGAGTGGATTGTGAGTGCTGGGGCATAAGGTATTGTAAAGCTCTAAGAGTAATCCAGGGATGAAGAAACCACTGCTTGTCAGCTGTCATCAACAACAGCCTCATTTTCTTTCTTCTTGTCATGGAGCACTGTGCATTAATACCAAGGACTTCCTGCACATTGTTGCAAAGGATCCTCAACGCAGAGTGGATGGCCTCATTCCTGTATGATAAATAAATGAAACCTTATTGCCAAACTGACTGTATTTGGAATTACCAAAGAAACACACCTCTGGGTTTCTCTCTAGGGAGTTTCCATAGAGGTCCAACAGAGTAAGGAAGACTCACCTTGAATGTATCTCAATGTACACGAGACTAGTCATGAACTAGAGTCCTAAAGTGAATAAAAAGAAACAAAGAGAGAAGCTGGCTGAGGACCAGCATTCATTTCTCTGCTCCCTGACTATGGAGACAACATAATCATTTGCCCCATACTTCTCTCACTGTGAATTCCCCTTAGGATGCGTTCTGTCTCCTCTATCCATGAGCTGAAAGAAACCCTTCCTTGAGCTGCTTTTCTCTAGCCTTGAGAAAAATACCTAATACAAGGAATTGCTAAGGTTTTCCAACTAGTGATTGACATTTTACAGGACTATTACATTTTGTATACATGTGCTGAAATGTCACACTGTAGCTTAAAAATATATACAATCACCTGGTGATTCAAATATGCATGCATTAAAAGGAAAATGGAAGGAAACCTCTCTAGTTGTGAGGAAACACCATCTAAGACAAACCCAAGTACTCCTCCACTTAACCTTGAGTTCCTTTAACCTTAGTGTGGTCCATGGTGCGTGGAAAATAGGAACACATGAACTTAAGTCAGGACACTCAGCATGGAAACACACGGGGAAATCGCCAGAAGATGCCCTTGGTGTCAGTCTTTGCAGGATTCTTTCATCCTCCCCTTTTTTTGTCATCTCTCTTTTTCTCTCTCTTCTCCTTCTTACTTTAGGGATCCAGTTAGTTTTAAACATCACTCTTCCCTAGTCATCCCTCTAATTTGTCCTTTTTTGTCTAACCTGTCACTCAGGTGGCCATTTGTCCCACAGGCAGCACACGTTCAGCATTTCCAAAGCTGTGGTTATTAGTTCTATCCAATTTTACTTTGGCCAAAGCTGCTCCTTCGATCACTTTTAATCTTTAGAGGTCTCAGGGAACCTCTCCCCTTCACACTGCGCTTCCTTACACACTTGTACATCACAGCTGCCCATGAAGTCTTTGTGAGTGTTCCTATTGTAGCTTCAATTTCTCTTCTTATCACTTGAGGGTGCCTGGAGACTGGGCTACTGTAACACAGCTTTTTGACAAGTGCTCTTTAAATTCATTTTCTATTGATGAAGACTTAAGTTTTGGGAGCAGAAGTGTGATATCTACTTAATGATTGCTTTTCTCTTTTCCACTATAGTGATGGCCTTGTTTGTGCAGAAGACCACAGTGCATCATCCCCAAACATGCTTCTTTGGCACAAATATTATTTCAGGTCATTTCCATAGAGACAAATACAGAGAAAGAACCCTTTTATAGGAAATGAACAGCTTCTAAGTAAATCATCTGTTGGAATTTCCCCTTCTCTGTACCTCAGAGAGTAGCATTACTAAATCACTAGATTCTTTTCGGTAGCAAGGGCACAGGCTTATATGACAAACATTATCCTTGCGTTTTTTCCTTGGTTTATTAGCACATTTTATCCTGCTGCAACACAGACTGCGTAAATTATAGACAACAGTTAATTTGGTCCTTGATCCTCCAAGTTGGAGACCATGATCAAGTGGCTACATCTGGTGAGTGCGGGTCTGTTATGTTATGACATCATAGAACGTTATCACATGATAAAGAAGCGTGAGAGAAGGTGGTGAGAATGAGGCCTGAATTTAGGGCCTGAATTTATCTTTTTGTCAGAATCTTTTCTCATAATAACTAATATATACCCACAATAGGGACATTAAACAATGCAGGAAGGCAGAATTATTTTATTGGCCAGCTTTTTATTACCTCAATGAAATGCCTGAGTAATGAGTTTTCAGATAAATGGACAGCACTAGAATATGTGAAGTAACACAGAGTCAGAAAAACCAATGTCATGTATGTTCTTAAGATTTGACTCTAGAATCTGAGGCAATTGAAGAGTAAAGTGGAAAGTAAAAAGAGACTATGATGGGGGGTATAGGACAAGAGCACTAGACAGGGGGACTGTAAAGTATGATTGCTCTGAAGGAGGAAATGGGAGAGGGACCACAGTCAGGCAAGAAGGAAAAAAGGAGGGACAAATAACACTACCCATGTTTGGAAAATCCATCGGGAAGTGTATTATTTTATGGCTGTTTAAAATTACATACAGTATATGCAAGTTGTGTGTGAGTGTGTGTGTGTGTGTGTGTGTCTGTCTGTCTGTCTGTCTGTCTGTGTCTGTGTGTCTATGATTTAACTGAAGTTATGTCTAGGACTTCAGGGGCAACATTGCTCCCCTTAAAAAAAAACGTAGACTATCAAGCAAAAACCCCATTCAAGGCGTGGGAACCCTCCTTTGAATTGTTTTTCAGGAGGGCCTAAGAAATTCCCAAAACAATATAGACAATTTCCATTGCTCTGGTGCCTTCCAGAAAAGGGGGGTAAGATCCTGTTACTGAAGATACCACACACTTTAGACACAGAATTTGGAAGAATGGATCTGGCTCTGATATGGAAGCCTCCTCACTGAAGACAGATAATATTGTTTTTGCAAGTAGCCATTTAAGATTTCAGTGGAGAAAATCAATCAAAGATCCTACCTGGCTGTAATGAAAATGAACCATAATGACCAGCATAGCAGGATATTCCAATAGGTACAACACTGGCATTTACATTCTTGGAGTAACTGGAAGCCATCTAATTGGACTTTAGCCCCCATAAATAAGAGGGGATTTGTGCCTGATACAGTAAATGTACCTAACTACCTGTGGCTGGTGAGGCTATGGAAATTAGAGGAGAAACTACTATTTCCACTTCCTATACCAGTATAACATCTAATTTCCTTCTGAATACCCATCCATATTCCCACATATGCATGTAGCTCTCATCCTTCACAAAAGAAACATCTTGAGACAGATGGGGATCCTTACAGAAAACCACAACTGGTCAAAATGCAGAGACTGACTGTGGGGTACACAAAAATCCAACTATTACATTTGTAACACAAACCCTACAGTGAAGGCTTGAGGACAATTTAGGAAGAGGGAGCATGAGGAGCATAGCTGGCCAGAGGGCCAAGACAAATGCCCTGAGACAGTCGCTTCTTAAAAAGAAAGAAAAAGGGACTCAAGGGACAGGGAGTAAAGGGTGAAGAGTGGAGGTAAATATGATCAAGATCAACTGTATGAAGTTCTCTAAGAATTAATTAATAAAAGTCTTAATAAAAGGAGATGGAATTTATGTAGCTGACAGATATTGAGGCTTGATATGAAGGTAAGATACTTGTCTTACTTCTTGGAAGGCCCTCTCTGCTGCATCATTGCAGATGCCTCTCAGCTGCTGCACTGGGTGGGGGGCCCTCAGCTGCTCCACTGGGGAAGTCCCTCAGCTGCTCCACTGGGGAAGTCCCTCAGCTGCTCCACTGGGGAGGTCCTTCAGCTACTCCACTGGGATGGGCTCTCAGCTGTTTCAAGTTGTGGGGGGGGATTGTAGGGGGTCGCTCAGCTATGGCACTCAGCTATAGAAAGACCATCGATTGCATCACTGAAAAGGGTCCTTCGCTACATCAGTGGGGAGACTTTTCAGCTGCATCATGTTGTAGCAATAGTGTTTGTGTGTGTGTGTGTGTGTGTGTGTGTATGTGTGTGTGTGTGTGTGTAGGTTAATCAGTTCTATTTGTTTATCTCTTGTTGATCTAACTTTAGTTACAGTGGCTTACCCAAGAAAGAGCAATAAACATGAAGAGAAGTTATTTTTACCCTACAGCTGCATTTCCTAGCCCCTCTTGCTGCTGGCTGTAGCAGTGTGGCTGAGATGATTGTGTTCCGAACAATTAAATGTGAATCAAAGTGATTTGCCCATCCCCTGACTTAATCCTTAAACAATATTTACATAACTGTCGTCAGCTTCCTCGCCTGGTCTGCAGGCTTGATATTAGTGACCACAGAACCTTTAAAGCCTTGTCTTGCCAATCATAAACCCAGTTGTCACTGGTATTAGGTCTCAAACCTGGGACAAATGGCTGAGGTGCCTATTTAACATCAAAACAGGACTTGGCTGCCAAGTTCTCCCAGCATCCCTCAGTCCCTACCTGTTACAGGATATCGCTGGCATACTCTGGTCCCTACCCTAAACTTCTCCAGGCCAGGGACGGGGCTACCCTTCCCCTAGATGGCCTTCCCTATAATCCAGTCATTCTAGTTACCCTATCCTTTTACCTACCCTTTACTCTCTTAGCGAGTCTTTTGGTCCCTGCCACCCTTCTTGGTCTCCTTCCTCTTCTCCCCTCCCCTTTCGCTCCCCCCTCTCCTCTCCCCACATGGCCTAGCACACGATCATGTTCACTATGGACACAGATGTCCCTGCCTCTGGCTATGCTCTTCAGTTTATATACAATGAAGTTTCTCCTCCACTGTACCTAGGAGCAGGTGTGCCCTTCCATTTTTATTCTGTATTTCATTCAACTGGCAAAAAAAAAAAATGCCCACTCTCCCTCTGGCCCACCTCATTCTGCTGGGCCTTTGAAAGCTTCTGTGTTCAACAGTCAGGCATGCCAGGATCTATGGAGCCACCTCCCTCTGGAATCCCACTTTTCAACCGAAGCAACTCATTGAACATTACCACAAACATGCCTTGACCCATCCCAGAAGATCCTACCAACTCACTGCGTGAGCTTCTGTCTCCTTTAAACCCCAAAGAAGCCTCTCTGTACTTTAGCCATGATTCAGTAGGTTTGTGACATCATGTTATAAACAATAGTATGGGGTTGAGAAATGCCCAGTTCACTTCCTTTTACAGCCTTGAAACCGAAAAGGCTAATAAATGCCTTCATTAAGAGGGAAAAAAAATCAAGTCTCACAAGACAGACTAGATAATTCTGCTAGGAAAGGGAGGAATGACTTTCCTCCATTTCTAATGACTCCACAAGGGAATAAAATGGGACACAGATAGGTTTCTGAATGACTGAACTGTGTCACTCGTTGTTTTAAACAC